GGGGGGGGGGGGGCATGGTCCCCCCAAATTTTTATGTTTTTTCACCTAAGTATATATCTATTATATTAGATTAAGTATAATTATTTATTATTTGTCCCCCTAACTAACTAATGATTTATTTATTTTGATCAAGTGTGCTTAGACATGTCAAGTCTATTAGAGATATATTTACAAAACCCCATAAAGCCCAATTCCACATTTTATATTATACTCCTATATTAGTTATTTATTAATGGAAAAAAGGCACAACAAGCTAAAAAAAAAAATAAAGTTGCAACAACAAGTCCAACAACAATTCCTTGAGTATTTTGATCATCTTTTTATATTTGTGAGTACTTTAATTTATGCTCATGTTCATAATTTAATCTATTCATCTTTTTAGGGATTTAGGGTTTAAAACTAGCACTCAATATGTGTATTTATTCATCATTCTCAAATATCTTAATTCATTATCTTCAGCTTGGACAGTTTGATAAAAAAATTTGTTGAAGAGATGTATCATTTGTCAAGAACAAATGGATCATATATAGGCTTATATCATTTTTTTTATTATTTATGAATCATATAGTAATATATAGGCTTATGCTATTTTTAATAAGGTTGATTCTTACTCTTTCTGTGTCTACGTCGACCACATAGTGTGCATTTTCGGCACTGTTCTAAAAATCGGCCTAGGTGGCCGCCTAGGTGCTAGGCGGTGCTCGGGCGCCTCCGATTTGCACAAATCGGCAGAAAAAATGGGTCAGGCGGCTAGGCGGCGCCTAGGCAGGCCTAGGCGGCCCTAGGCGCTCCTAGGCGGCCTTGGCGGACTCGGCGGCCAGGCGGCGCCTAGACGGGCATAGGCGGACCTAAGCGCTCCTAGGCGGGCTCGGCGGCAATTTTTCATTTTTTTTTCTAATATTAATTATATTATTTTGTTCTCATTTTTTCTTTAAAATATATTAATTTTATTATTTGGACTTAGGTGTGTCGATTTATTAGAAGTTGAGATAATTTTATTTTGTAGATAGTTAAAATAAATAAAAAATAAGAAATTTAATATTGATTTCTAGACTCCGACTAGGCGCCGCCTAGGCCCCGCCTAGGCGCTCTAGGCGCTGGTCGAGCGCCTAGCGGGCGCCTAGCGACTTTTAGAACACTAATTTTCGGTTATAGCTATCGTTAAATATAAACTTTGAAGTAAAATGGAAGATGACTTTCTTGTAAATTCTTTGACTATCTTTGTTGAAAGAAAGATCCATTACTACCGAGTCAATCATCGATGGGTTTCGTGGCTTAAAAGAAAGTCGAGCACAATTCTAATAGTCACAAAGTTTGAACGGTATGTATTTTTATACTACTTTTTTTCTTTTCTATTCTAAAAATGGAATTTTGTCTTTTTAATGAAGTATGTCATTATTGAAAATTATATCGTTCCCCCCAAATAAAATTTCTAGATCCGCCCCTGGCAAGAACAACAAATCCGGAAGTGAGACCATTTGCAAAGGCCGACGAGAGAAGTCACCCCGATTAGGTCGACGTAAGCAACTCGAGCCACTCGCGCCGCACCCCTCCCAGCCCCACCACCCAAGAACGCCGACGTACTTTAAGCACAATTTAGAGAAATCTGTCGAAGACGTCTGCCCTCACCCCGCGGCCTGAGACGAAAGAGAAGGGCGCCACAAACTGAGCCATGGATGTGCGGAGGAGAGCTGTCCGACGGCAAGCCCAGCGGCACTGAGGAAGGCACAAAATGACGTGAATTTAGTTGAGGGACAACGAAATATTTGGGGAAATGAAGGAGAGAAAAAATAGAGCTTATCAGTAATTTTTTGAAAATATGCGCTTCACTGTGCTGAAACGCAAATTTTTTTTCTCTCGAAAGTTCTATTTCTTGCCCCAATACTTCGTATAATTATATTTTAGACATTAAATATTAACATGAAAATCCATAATAAATCATCAAATTATATTGGTGAAATTTAAAAACACAATACATTTTTTTAATTAAAATACAACATAACATGCATAGTTAGTGCAGTTTTTATTTATTTAATAAATATTCTTTGATATTTATTAGATATTTTTAAGAAAAAAAAAGTTACAAATCATATTAATATTAATAAGACTACACAATTAATACATAAAAAAGACATTAATATTACCAAATTAGTTATAATATTCAAAAGTTACATAGAATTACGGAAAATATAAATATATCATAAACAATGAAAAATAACACACAAATACAAAGCTGAAAAATACATCATAAATTACAAACTAAATATCATGCATATATTTAGTAATTTGGAAAATTGGCACCACTTCCTAAATTATTGAAAAAAACTGCTCAACTGTGTCGGTTGGAAATAAAATTGGGCTTGTTGAGCCATTTTCTCTAAAATTCGTGTCTTTACAACTTTAATATACGCTCTCTTGAAACATAATTTTATTTCTTTCCCCATTTCTTTTAGAGCGAGGGGTTTGTTTTGCATTTTCAATTGGCGTTTCGTGTTGTTCATTTGATTTTTTTTTTTTCAACTCATCAAGAAGTTTGTTGTTTTCTTCTTGCATGATGTTGATGATCGATCCTTCCGACGGGAAGAGTGGCCCCCGTCGACTGCCATGTGCGGCGTTGGAGTTGCGGCCACCAGAGAAGTCGGGGAATGGCGGAGACAGGCGGGATTGGATGGCAGTCGGCAACGTTGGATGGCGACGGTCAAGCGGGTGATGGGTAGGTACTGTGTGCGTGTGTTGTGCGTGAGAGAGAGTGGCTAGTGGGTTCCACTAGTGAGTTGGTGGGTTAGGAATTGAGTAGGGTGTGTTGGTGTTGGGTGGGGCCCACAAGTTAGTTCGGCAGGAAAATTACTACACTGTCTTTAATGTGTTAAAATTTGAGTTTTTTTGTAGGATGCCATTAGAGCCTCTCCAACCGGTACCCAAAACTAAAAAAATGCAGTATTTTTGTTCCAACCGATACTCATCCCCAAACGCAAATTGCGTTTTCTCATTTTTTTGGTCCGTTGAAACGCATATTTGCGTTTATCCTGTTCACTAACGCAAATCTTTTAAAAAATTGCAATATGACCTGA